AAAAAAAAAAAAAAAAAAAAAAAAAAAAGGAATGCAACTCCAGCTCCCTATTGCTTTGGAGGCTGCCTTCGCGCCGCCGTCGCGTGGATGGAGGCGAGTGTGGCCGTGGGAAAGCCCAGCACGGCTCAGAGCTGCCTCACGGCCCGCTGGTGGGGTGCGATGGCACGGGGGGGCTGCCTGCCTGCCCGGAGATGCCGGGGGTTTGGGTTGGAGCCGTGCAAAGCCGGTGGCCTGCTGAGCCCGGGACGCGAGGTAGCGGAGGGGTGACCTGCCCGGCAAGAAGTGTTTTGAGATTATTTGGTGTTCGACAGGCTGGTGGGGGAGGAGGAACCTTCCTTGGCTGAACCGGGGCAGAAGGGGGGCTCGAAGCCCTGGGGAAGCAGCACCCGGCACCCCAGGGAGGTGTAAGGGGCAGGATGGGGGCTTTATTTTTTTCCCCTTCCTTGCCTTCATTCAGAAATTCCACCTGGAAATCTGACCCAACTGAGCCAAAAGAGAGCCTCTGTAACATGGCCTCTTGCTGGAGGCGGCTCTGCCCTCCAAGGGGAGAAATTCCAGCTCCACAGGGAGGAAAACGGGACTCCCATCTCCACCGTGCCCCAGGGATGGAGCCACCCCCGGCACATCGGGACGCAGGTGCTGGGAAATTTCCTTCCAGGGGCAAGCGATGGCAGGCTGCAGCCAGCATTGCCCCTGCGGTGCCAGGGCAGGAGCCAGCAAGGACAGACCCAACAGCCAACCTCTGGGCACTGTCTGAGACATCTCCTCCACTCCCCGGGTGCCACACAGCATTTCAGGCACCGCAGAAACACAAACACCCGCCCTGGGATGGCTTTGGCCCAGAGCACCAAGGTCCTCCCCTCCAGGCAGCCCGGCCACTCATCCACTCCAACTCGCCGGTGGCCACCGCATCACCCTGCCCAGCACCGCCCGAGGTGCCTCATCCCCAAATGTCACTGTCACTGCAGGGTGCCAGCACCGGCGGGGAGGCAAACCCCGGCACGGCTCCCACCGCAGCATCACCCCCGAAGAGAGCAGCGACGCCGGGGGCCGGGGTCCCCGAGGACAGTCCGTCGGGGCGGGGGGGCTCACATGATGGTGCATCGGTTCCTGCGCAGGGCGCCCTGGAAGCGGATGGTGGTGTGGACGTGCTTGCAGCGGGCGCAGCCCACGCTCTTGAGGAGCTCGCTGAAGAGCAGCAGGATGTGCCAGTTGTACTTGGCCGAGCACTCGATGTAGCCGCACTTCCACGTCTTCTTCACCAGGTTGGAGACGTTCCAGCGCGGGATCACTCGGCCCCGCTGCAGGTCCCGCTTGTTGCCCACGATGATGATGGGCGTCTCCGAAGTGCCGATGACCCTGGGGAGGGCAAGTGGTGAGGGAAGACAGAAGGAGATGGGGCACAGCGTGACGACCGATGGGCCCACAGACACCAACCCATCCCAAACCTGCTCTTGGCTTTGGCTTGCCAGGAGGGATGTGCCTCCTCTTGGCCTGTCCCCTTGTCTCTCTCCGTGGCCAGCCACGCACCGTGGCAGCCCCAGTTGCTTTCCCAGGGATGGCTGCCCTTACCCACAGGGGATAGCTGCCCAGGGTCCTGCTCCTTCTCCTGCCCTCAGGTCCAGTTTTGCTTTACTTTTGGGATCCCAGCCCTGCAAAGGGGCTTTGTCCCAGTCTGTAATATGTCATCTCTGACGCCAAGAGCAGGGGAGCACTGGGGGCAAGCCGTATCTCCCTGCCAGGAGCCGCGGGGAGATGCGCTCTCCACCAAAGAGATCCCTACCTCGTTTCCAGGATCTGCTGGCGGATGGTTTTGATGTACTCGAAGCTGTCAAAGCAACAGATGTCATAGACCAGGATGTAGGCATGGACGCTCCGGAGCCCCCTGCAACACACGTCCGCCCACTCCTGCAAGGTGCAGAGAGGGATCAATCCTGGCTCAGCCCCGCCGCTGTGCCCGGGGGATGCCCTGCTCTGCTTCGGGGCTGGGCACGTCAAGGTGGCTGCTGTGCTGGCAGGTAGCAAAGGAGCTGCACGGTCCCTGGCCCCGACACCCAGCACCCACCTCTGCTCTGGCCTGATCCATCCCTGCAATAGCTGAGTCTCCCCCCAGCAGACCCCCACCATCTCCAGAGATCCCTCATCCCCCTTGTTAATCCAGATGAGAGATAATGGGATTTGTCAGCTCCAATTCCTCTCTTGAGTAAGGATTACAGCCTGCCCAGAGGCAAGCTGGGAGTGCACCTGAATGCAGCCCCCTGGCCTGGATGTAAAAGCTTCATCCTCCAGAGCCATTAATTGGATGTGTTGATTAGTGATGCACCCTGGTTTCTGGGCAGGGCAGGTGAGGAGGATCCCTGTCCACATGAGGGTGGAGGTGATGGACCAGTGGTGATGGTGATGGACCAGGTGATGACTCCATGGGTCAAAAGGGAAAGGTGACAGCAGGGCTGTTTAGAGGGGACATGGGGAGAGGAGAGGAGCAGTGGCTGCTCGGGGGGGGTCTGCGAGAGCAAGATCGGGAGCCAGGGCAGAGGCGGTCAGGGGTGACATCCCCACAGCCAGAATTTGGAGCTGTAATAAACACATGTTGTTAGGAAAGCTTTGGGTTTCCAGGAATAACAGGATTTTTTTTCCCATGCTATAGGAGTGAAAACCTGCCCTGCTTCCAGCCACTTTCCCAGCCCAGCAGGGGTACTGGGAATGGCAGCACCACAAACCCTCCTGAGCACCGCTGGAGAGGAGAAAGATACACCAAGGAGGAAAGGCATCACTTCTCCCTGAGCAAACCTCTTCAGTACTGTGAATCATCCCTTTCTGAGTTTGTCATCAGAATGAGGCAAAATGAGAAGACCTAGGACCAAAGGGAACTGGGAAAAGGAAAGTTTTGGGGTGTAGGTTGGTCTCCATTGCAGACCGAGGCACGGGAAGGAGCTGGGAGCAAGCGGCATGGCACAGCCTGTCCACGGAGGGGAGATGGTGTATGGCTCCTTGGTGTCTGAGAGATGCAGGTGGATGAAGCAGCAGTGTCTCAGGTTACTGAGTCCTGATAACACCTGGGAGATTAATAAATTGCAGCTATTTCACCACGCTGGGGTGCAGCTTGTTCCGGTGCTGTGATGTCGGGATGGTTTTCCCCGTGCAGGGCAGGTTTCCCGAGATGCTCGGGGCTGGAGGAGGGTCACACTGCACATCCCGCCTGGCCTCGTGAGGGAGCGGGATGTCGGGGAGCCACTGGCACCCCCTCCTCTCCCAGGACATCACTGCGGGGATGCTGCTCGTGAGCACAGAGCGAAGCCCAGAGATGCTTCCCAGCAGACAGAGCCATAACCCCCACCGTGTCCTCTCCCTTCCCCTCGGAGCCATCCCTCCGACCACCCTCTCCTCCCTGGAAACCTCCATCTGTTCCCACCGGCCGCCTCCTCTTGAGCACAGCAAGGCAGGGAGTTAATTGAGTGTGTTAGCGTTGGCTGCCGTGTCAATAAATTACCCTTTGCTATTTCGGGCTGTCTCTCGCACTGACCTTTCGTTCCCTCCACATGCCGATTAATTTTTAAACCTCCTCCTCACCCGCAGAGTGTTCACTTCGCCTCCTGCCTGACAGCACAGGGGAAACTTGGAGCACTACGAGACCCCTATAACCCTGCCCCTGTCAGGCACAGGAGCAATATAATTATGTTGATTAAAAATACAAGAAGGTCCAGCTCCCGTGGAGGTGCCCCCACCGGTGGCATTGCCCCTCAGCATGGCTGTGGCCACGGCTGCGCACCTCCAGCTCCTTTTTCCACAGCGGTGGCACGACTTGTGCCCCTGCATCAGGGCCACCCCTTTTTCCTATTAAACCTCCCCAAAGCGGCCAGCACTGGTGGCAATGCCTTCCAACCCCATGCTGCCTTTTGGGGGGCTGTTTTGGAAGCACCTGAGAGCGCTGGGGGGTTGAGGAGGAGCCGGTGGGCTCAGGGCTCTGGGGACAAGGCCAGGCAATGCTGGAGGGATGACGGCCATCCTAGGAGGGGACGAGCAGCCCCCCCCGCCTGGCTCAGGCAGTGGGTGCATCAGGGTCTGGCTCTCCAGGAACCCCTGTTATTCACCCGAATGTTCTGGCCACGCTCCCCCAGCCCTGCGCTGACCCTGGCTCTGACAGCCACGGAACCAGATCCAGTGCTCTGGGATCAACCATCCAGCTGGGCGGGACTGTGGGCACAGCCAGAGCCACAGTCTTCAGAGTGGGATGGCATCCCTCTTGCATTTGCCATCATTTTAGGTGAAAAAGCTTTAAAAGACACTTTATGCTGGGCCTGCTCAGCCAGCAGCCATGAGGACACGACTCCTTGCACCAGCTTTTAGCAAGCAAACCCCGACGTGGAGGAAGAAGCATCCCCTGAAGAGGAGGAACTGGGACCCCGCAGGGTTAATCAGGGAAAGCCCACGGAGGTCACCAGAGACCCCCCAAGGTGGAGGTGCCACCGCACCAAGCCGGGTGCGTCCCTACCTGCAGGGTGTTGACAGGGAAGGCGGTGATGGGGGGGAAGTCCATGATCTGCAGGTCGTGGACGTGGCCGTTCATGACGACAGCGGGCAGGTAGACGCGGCGGGCCGTGGTGGGCACGCAGACCTCGCTGAACTCGTTGTAGAGGAACTGCCGGACTATGGCGCTCTTGCCCACGCCCTGGGCTCCCAGCACGGCGATCTTGAACGTTGCCACCATGCCGCTGCGTGCCGGCCGCTGCCCTGGTGCTGCCCCTGCAGTGCCGAGGCCGCATATTCCCGCGCAGGGGGCCTCAGCCCCATTCAGGATGCATTTCCCCTCTGGGACAGCCCGTCACTGCAAGGCCAAGGACAAGCTGGTCAGATCCTAGAGACACCCTGGCAGATTCCACTATTGCTTCAGGCAAAAATTTTCCAAGCAGAAGCCCATGGAAAAGGGTTGTATCTGTCCTCAGGAAGCGGGAGCATCCTTCAGGTCTGGGCAATGTGCCCAGCAGGGGCCTCAGCACTGCGACACCTTGGGGTCCCCCTCAGAGACTCCCACCCTGCAGAGCCAAGGAGAGCCATGATTTGAGTGAACTTTATCCCAGGAAGGTTCTCACAGGCACGTTCAACCCTTTTGGTACCAGAGCAAGGAAACCTCCTAGAAAGGGACTGTCTGCGGCTCAGGGTTTGCCCAGCCCTGGCAGCAGCAGGGTCCCGGGCTGTGCTGGGGACCTGTCCTATAGCACCCGCGGCGACCGTCACCGGCTGCTCCATCCCGGTGCTGCCCCAAGCTGGGGAATCCATCTTCCCTCTGCTTGGACAGCCAGAATTGCCTTTTGCTGGGGCGGGAGGGGAAATTGCTCTGCGCCTGCAAGCGACAGCTTTAATGTTTAATTTCAGGCTTTGAGCGGTTTGGCAATTAACTTGATGGAGGCTAATTTCCAAGCCAGCTGATGGGGTGAGCCCACAAAGCTGCTGGCACACGTGCTGAGGCTGGAGGGGCCCCAGGGCGTGCGGGAGGACACGGGGTGATAGCCCACACATGTGGATGTGGGAGATGAGTCCAAGGAGCCCAAACACCTGCTGGCACCGGGTTCCAGACCAGGAGCTGTGATGGAAACAGCAAGGGTGAGGGGCTGTGTCCCACTTCTGCTTGCTCCCGTCACTAGGAAGCGGCTTGTACTTTATCCCAAAGTGTGGATGCTTGTACCTATTTGTGATGCTCTGATCCGTTTTCCCTGAAAACCATTCCCAAAGCACAGGGCAGCAGTTCCTGAGCTGGCAGAAAGCAGCAGGTTCAAACCATCCTGTCCTGCCTGTTTGATGGGGGATATTTACGCCGGGGAGAGCCCAGCCATGGGGGTTCCCACTGCTGGGTGCCGGGGAGGCCGGGCTCCCCCCGGTCCCCCACGCTGGGCCATGGCTCACACCACCCTCACCCTCCTCGCAGCGGGGCTGGGGCCAGCAGGGCCCGATCCAGCCCCAGGGCAGGAGCAGGTTTGCACCCAGGGCTGGGAAACATGGCATGTTGTGGTGCTGGGGCCATTCCTGGGGTGCTGAGCGCCCTCGGGGTCCCACTCGCCCCAGCCATGGCAGTGAGAGCGTTTCTGTGCCACATGCAGGGAAATGGGAGGTGCAGGAGCCCCCAGACCCGGCCCTGCTGGGGCCTTTCTCCACCAGCAGAAAGCAGTGTCATTGCAAGTCCCGGGGGGCCACTCTGCTGCAGGGACAACCCCGTCCCCCACAAACCTCCTCCTGCGAGCAACCCCAGCTCCTCTGCGGGGCCGGAGGGTGATGGAGTGACACGGCTGGAGACCCAGCACCCGTGGGGCTGCCCTGAACCGTAGAGCAGGCTCAGCCCTGCCGTGCCACCCCAAAACCCCCCATCCTCCTCCTCTGGGCTGGCACGGGGGGGCCATGCACGGGAAGGCTGGCTCCCGGGCCCAGAAAGTGGGCTCGCACCCCAGAGCATCACAGGCCGACCCGACGGCTCCCGGCCCCGCGAGCATCTCAGGCCACCGTGGGAAACTGAGGCGCAGAGGGGGGGAC